AATTCCCTAAAGGATAAGAGTGACTCACTGTGCCTAAACTGTACAAACAATAGGGTTTATGCTAACATCTATTTTTCTTCTGGGAGTCTGGGATTTTGGTATATACCAGGCAAAATGCCCTTATGTAACTAGTTCCAATAAAAATCTTGGGCAGCCAGTCTCTAATCAGCTTCCCTGGTAACATTTCATATGTGTTGCCACAAATCATTGCTGGCAGAATTAAGCATGTCCTACGTGACTTTACTGGGATAGGGCCCTTGGAAGCTTGTGCTTGGTTTCCTCCAGGATTTTTCCCATACACCTTTTCCCTTTGCTGATTTTGCTTTGTATTCTTTCCCTGTAATGAATCACTGACACCAATATGACTATATGCTGTGTCCTGTGGAATCAACCCAGCAAATCCTTAAACCTGGGGGTGGTTGTGGGAACCTCTGACATACAAAGATAGCTAAAATCCAAAGACATTTATTTTGATCTCTATAAGCAGCACCAGGGTTGCCTGCAAAGTACCTTCTAAGAACTGAAAAATAAGCTGCTCTTTGCAAGTTAAGCTTTAAATGAATCCAGATAAGTATCCTGGAGAAAAAATGGATTCTGGGCTGGAGTAAGACTTAAAGATATAAAAGAAAGAACCTGTTAATCAGAAGGGAGGTGATTATGAAAGAAAGCACAGAAAACAGTCACAGAGAGAAATGATGTCATTGTTCACTCAAGCATTAACACTATCCAAGGAAGAGTTTTGGCCAATGCACTGTGAATGTCATGGTTCTATTGCTAAGTTTATCTTTATTATAGAGATGGCTACCAGAGATCTGTTCTAGATCTTTTGAGTTTAAAAATATGAATTATATAAATTTAATCTCACCTCAAAATCCAGTTTGAGTTTCCTCACTTCCACAAATCCTTCCCTGTCTACTCAAGGTATTAATGACTTCATGCTACTGAATTTCTATAGTGCTAATACTCTATACCACACAATTAAACATCTAATGCTATATTCTTTTTATATTTAGCTTTTTGAAAACTTTACATATCTAAAGAATACAGAAAATGGGAGAATACAGTTAACCCAGAAGTGGTCAAACAAAAAAACCTTTATGTATCTAGTTACGTTATTTCAAAATGTGTATTAGTTGTATTCCACAGGGGAATGTAATTTCCTTGAAAATGGTGCTACTCCCTCACCCCTTGCCAAATATTCTCTTCCTCTGGTTTTCATGATACTATTCTTTGTAATTTACCCCTCATCTCCATGGCTGTTTTTTTCCATCTGTTCCATCA